GGCCAGCCAGAAGTTTAAACCCAGCGAGTTTGTCGTTGGTAAACACTCTTCTGATAGCTTGCTAGGTTTAGCAGCGTCTGGTCGTCTTTCCTTACTATATGGGACCGAGGTACAACATAGTAAAAAAAGCAAATGTACAATGAAAATTTCAGCTCCTCATAAACGTCATCGTTTTTTCCAGCCGTCCTGGAAAAGAAAAAAGAAAATGTAAGTGCATGTCGAAATACACTCGTATGTGCGTAAAAATACAATTTCGGCGAAAAATTGGAATATAAACTAATATACACGTAATGTCGTTAAAAAAATTTATAATGTTTGTTTTTGTTTTTTTGGAATAAAAATAAAAATATATAAGCATATTAAAATTGTTTTTTTAAATATATTATATATCGTAAATTGAAAGATCGAGATAATACAAAATGTCGAGAAGTGCATCACGTGCAATAGTCGTTTAAATGTTCTGGAAATCTAACTCTTCTTCCAGAACGCGTCGTTTCAAGTTCATTTTTAGATACATTCGGAGTACGATTGCGTGTGTTGGTTGTCGATTGAGGAATTATGAGTGGAGTCGTGTCGTTCGATTGTACCGAAGGAAAATCGACGTAGATAGGATTTCCTTCTAAATACGCTGCTTTTAAGCGATCGATGCTGATGCTATCGTTGGTTCCGTTCTTATCGACTATATAGTACTTCGGTTCGCGTTGAAGAACTTTGAAAGTTCCTTCGTATGCTGATTCGAATGGTCGTCGATGCGAGTCTCGACGAACGAAAACGTGTGTACTATATCGTAAGTCAGGTTGGACGAAAACATCGGTTGATTGAGGTCGAGTGGAAGCAGGTTTAACTGAACGCATTGCGTTTGTAAGCCTGTTCGTGTAGGAGGTTAGATCCATGTTCATTGAAGAGGACGAAAGATCCACGAATTCTCCTGGAAGTCGAAGTGTCGTTCCATAAACAAGTTGAGCCGCAGTGTATCCAATGTCAGCTTTCACTGCATTGCGAACACCTAGTAATACAAGTGGAAGAGCGTCGGTCCACTGTGAAACGTTTGCAGCTGATAGTGAAGCTTTTAGTTGTCGGTGAAAACGTTCTACCAACCCGTTTGCTTGTGGATGGAGGGCAGTCGTTCGGAAGGGAGTGGTTCCTAAAAGTGTGGTCAGACGACGGAAAAGTTCAGATTCAAACTGACGTCCGCGGTCTGTAGTGATGGTTGAATGGCAGCCGAATGTTGCTACCCATCGTTCGACGAAGGCGTGAGCCCCTGTTTCAGCAGTGATGTCCTTGATAGGTACTGCTTCTGGCCATCGAGTGAAACGATCTACGTAGGTTAAAAGGCAAGAGTATCCAATTGAATCTGGCAAAGGTCCTACCAAATCCAGATGAACATGGTCGAAACGAGCATCGGGAGTTTTAAATGAGCCTAAGGGACATTTATTGTGTCTGATGACCTTAGATTTTTGGCAGCTTACACAGGAGCGTGCCCACTCCCTCACGTCTTTATTCATTCCAGGCCAGCAAAACCGTTCTGCTATAAGCTTGGTGGTTGCACGAACACCTGGATGAGAAAGTTTGTGCAATGTGTTGAAGACATTGCGTCGATAATGTTTCGGCACGATTGGGCGATCCCTACCTGTAGATGTGTCACAAAGTAAGGTTTCCTTACCTGTTCCCATCTGTTTGATGCGTAGTTTAAGGGTTGTAGACGATAACTCGTGCTGAAGATCACTGTCTTCTTTTTGAAGCTTGTCGAGTTTAAGAAGGTCGATTCCTTGGAAACTGTTCAAGGAAGTTATGCGAGATAAGGCGTCTGCAACCACATTGTTTGCTCCAGAGATGTGTTGAATGTCTGAAGTAAACTGCGAAATGTAGTCCAGTTGTCGAGACTCACGGGGAGAGTACTTGTCTGAAGGAGAGCTTAGAGAGAAGGTGAGTGGTTTATGGTCCGTGAAAAGAGTGAATTCACGACCTTCGATGTAGTGTTGAAAATGTCGTACAGCACAATACATAGCTAGGAGTTCCCTACCGAATGTGCTGTAAGTCGATTCGGTGTCTAGCAACCGTCTAGAGAAAATTGCCAATGGTTGCCAGGAGTTGATAACCCATTGTTGTAAGACTCTTCCGATTGCTGAGTCGGATGAGTCTACTGAGATGCTAATGGGTGCTTCAGTGTCCTGATGTGCAAACATTGTTGCTTTAGCGATCAGTTCCTTAACTGTGGAGAATGCTTTTCGTGCGGCGTCGTCCAGAATGATGGATTTTGCATTTCCACGAAGTTGGTCGGTAAGAGGTTTCATAAGTAAAGCGCATTTAGGTATGAATCGTCTATAGAAACTTACGAGGCCGTTAAACGTTCGTAACTGCTTGACGTTGGTCGGCTCTGGGTAATCCAGAATGGCCGCCACTTTGGTTCTAAGGGGTCGGATACCTTGAGCATCGATAGTATGTCCTAAGAAGTTTAATTAGTCGGTTCCAATTTGGCATTTCTGAACGTTTACAGTAATGCCATGTTTTTGTAGTCCTTCGAAAACAAGATCCAGATGCTTGAGATGTGATTCTCTGTCCGGACTTGCGATTAGGCAGTCATCAACATACGCATGTACGAAGTTGAGACCTCGAAAAACGTCGTCTATGAATCTTTGGAATGTTTGGGCAGCGTTCCTTAGACCGAAAGGCATTCGCGAAAATTCATAGAGTCCGAAGGGAGTTATGATAGCTGTTTTCGGTACGTCGTCAGTAGCCATAGGTATTTGGTATACGCTTTAACCAAGTCGATTTTCGAAAAGACAGTTGTACCTTTTAAGGTAGCTGTCAAATCGTGAATGTGAGGCAACGGGTAACGATCGGGAATGGTTTTCGCGTTCAATCGCCGATAGTCACCAGTTGGACGCCAATCGTTGCTGTCCTTTTTAGGGACCATGTGCAACGGAGATGCATAAGGGCTATTTGACGGTCGTATGATCCCTAAGTCCATCATGTGATCGAATTCGTTTTTCGCTAACCTTAGCTTTTCAGGAGCTAGTCGTCGTGCTTTAGAGAATACAGGTGGTCCTGTAGTCGTGATGTGATGTGTAACATTGCTGGTTACACACGGTAGTTTCGGTTGAGTTTGTTGTATCCCAGGGTACTTATCGAGTAGTGGTTGATAGAGTGGGTCTATCATATGTTTAACTGTGACTGGGGATACTCTACAACCAGTAAAAGAAGTTACGCAAACGGACAAATTAGTGTTTCCGTCTACTAGCCTCCGTTTGCGCGTGTCGATGATAAGATTATGGTGTTGTAGAAGGTCCATACCAATGATTGGCATAGAAACATCTGCAACAACGAAAATCCAATGGATGGGTTTGCGTAAACCCACGTTAAGGTAAACGTACCTTTTGCCATACGTAGCGATCGGTTTTCCGTTTGCCGCCTGTAAGTTTAGGGTCGATTCGTGAAGTCGGTCGTTAGGATTCGCTGGGAGAACGCTAACTTCTGCGCCAGTGTCGACGAGGTAGCGAACTCTCGTTGTCACATCTGTGACGAATAACAGACGGCTTTGTTCGCCGGCTACGGTTGCCGTTAACGCGTGCCGGCTTGGAAGTTTCCCGAATTACTTTTCGAATCAGTCGGTTTCGTGTTGGGAAAATTGCAGGGTTTTCTGCAATTTCTGGAAAGCTTTCCATACTGTTTATGATACCAGCACCAGTCGGGGTTATCTGTCTCTCGTGGTATAGAGACAGATCGCTTACGAGAAATGCTTCTACGTGGTGTGCGCGATCTCTTACGGTCGGTACGAAGATTAAGATAACGCGTGAGTGTAATACATAACTCGGTTATGTCATTCTGAGTCATTTGAGTTTTTTCTTTGACTGAAAATACCTCGGTAGTAGAAGATTTCGTAATTTCTAAGATACGATCAGCAGATGCAGCCAGTTCGTCTAAGGCGTTGTTCTGGAACGAGACCACAACTGCTTGCACCTGTTGGGGAAGTTTAGACAAGAAGAGTTGTTTGAATAGACCTTCGTCGAAAGTTCTTGGGCCTATAACCTCTCTCATCCTTTGCAACATGTCCGTCGCAGAACCGTGTTGCAGGTCTATGTTATTAAAGAGTTGATCTAACCTTTGTCGATCGGTTAGGTCTCCTCGTTTAAGAATCGAACGTTTTAAGGTTTCGTAAGGTTCAGAAACATCACTAGTAAACATACTAGTTGTTAAGTACCTGTTGAATTCCCGCGGTAGTGCCTTGACTACTGCGAGGAATTGTGCACGTGTGTCGTTCACGCCGTGCTCGTGGAAGTCGGCTTCTGCATAACAGAACCAGGATTCGATATTGTCGGACCAGAAAGGCATCAGTTGAAACGAAGGCGGGGACAAAGTCTTAAGCTTGAGTACTTTGGGTGTCTGTTCAGTCATGATGAAATATGAAGTACGATAATGAACGAGGGGAAAAAAAATATATATCCAAGAAAAAACACGAAAAAAATATCACAATGTATAAAAAATAAGGAATAAGGCAATAATATATAAAAATCCCAAAAAGGAACAGACTCACAGTTGCAATTAGGTGTACCAGATCACATCGGTCTCACCAATGAGGATGGCACAGGTATTCAGTGTTTGACAACGCTTCTACCAGTAACACCTAATATAATTCGTAATCACCCAGAGAAATCAGAAGACAGAGTAGAGGAGATCGGAAGAGTGTATTTGGCGATAACCAAAATATCGGAATTCCATGATCTAATCTGGCTAGCGATTGCGGTTGATGTTGAGCACGGCGTTACCACACCTGATCTGGTGCGGATGCCTGACCGAGCGCCTTCAGCTAGATGAGTCCTCTGAAACATGTGGTCAGCATCCAATGTCGAAAACTTACAGGGCTATTTATTTTGGGGATTTATTTACCGCTACAACATCAAGATTTGATAGCAAACACTTGTACTATCACCAAGTAAATATTGGATACTGAAATTTCTTTGTAGCCTTATGATCTGTGGAGCTCAATTTATTGTCGGAAGATGAAACTGTTAGACCAATTTGGCTTGGAAGGTTTGAGTTCGCAATTAAGTAACGGTAGTAAAAGATATAAAATTGATGCCAGGTGTGTTAAATTTAACCCACTAAGTTTTCAAGCTTCGTTCATATGTTTAATCCATCAAATTGATGGATTACATATGTACATATATACTACTCTCCCCTAATAGTTAACTATTAGGGAACAGTTGTCACGGTCTCCTCGAATTATTATGTATATTAAAGAAATCAGACCCTCATTTATCCTATTTGATATGTAGGTTTTATGAGTTTTACTCCATTAATGTGTAAGATTTCCGATAATCTTCGAAAATTGGTTGTTCTCATATCCAGTCAACTGGTTGATTTTCGATGCTATTACTTTTCTGTCCGACTGATATCATTTTTGGTTTAATTCAACCTAAACTCTAACCTCAATAATTTAAAGAATCTCAGATTTCTGCACCCCCCAATGAAGATTCATAATATTTTATACACGTTTTACACCCCAAGCTACCATTCATGGCGAATTTCGGGACAAAATCCCGGTTACATAAAAATTGTAAGAGAATCCTGAGGAAAAAAACCACACTTGAGTAAATTTTCGCGAAAATTTCAGAAGTTGGTGGACCTTGTTACTTTTTCCTAAAATTCACACATTTTCAATGGATATTTTATACTTCTCACCCCTTTATCCCTTCTTCCGGATTTTTTATATTTGTTTCTATTTGACCAGTGATGTCTCTGTGAAGACCCTTCCGTCCTGTTAGCTACTCTTCAAAAACAGTGATTTAAACTTATCCACATTTATTTCTGTCTCCACACTCATGACTGGCTTTTGTATATGTCACGGGTTTTAGCCTTATGTTTGTTTCGCTTCGTATTTTCAGGTCTTCTAAAGTTATACGAAATCACCGTCCCCGCATCACTCCAGCCTTCAGAAAATGTATGGCAAGGTTTATTTATACGTGCAACAAAAACTGGTCTTATCGTCGCATAAACTATTTCATCATTGCAAAGAAATACACTTTGTTTGTGAGCGGTGATTGTATGAGAGTTCAGTTTATCAATAATTCGTGGCTTATCCCGGTTGACAAACTGAAACCACCAATAAAAAACCATCGCTTTCTGTAGCGTTGTTACTTCGATAGGCGAGTTTAGATATTCCGATCTGTAAATATGAACCTTGGCAATAAACCCCCTTAACTGAAACTTCTGAAGGTTCAGTGAAGTCGTTGGGATTACTATTTCAGGGAAATTTAAGAAATGAAACCTTTTTAACTGGGTTTTTATTTTCATATTAAAACTGACTATGTATACTGGCTAAATGACGACCTGTAGGGTTACAAACTCAACTCGTTATCTAGTTTGTTTCTTTCAGTCAATTGCTACAGGCTTCCCATTAGTTCTAAACTCACACTAGTTTCCGGACGTGTATGCAGTTTATGATTTGAGTTTTATTTCTCGTTCTAATCCTATCTTTATGAACCAAATTTACAAACATTCGCATAACTTTTGTTTACTTTTTAGTCTTACATACCGAAGCTTACCTCAAATTGTTTATGTATCTGATGTGTTGTTTTAATTACTTTGCTCTTCTAGGCTAGAAAGCTATTCATGCAAAATGGTTTCAGAAGAGAAACGTCAATATAAGGAATTAGTTTCTCGTTTAAATAGTGATGAAAATCAAGAATCTCCTGCCCTTTACCTTGGGTCCTCGCAAACTCTACGGGATTTGTATGAAATGACTGGACAAGTGGTCGATCCCGAAACAATTCGGATGAGTATCATCCAGGATCAGTCACCACCGGTCACTTGTTTTTTCTTATAATTTTTTTCATCACTCTGTGTCCTCGTATCATTTTATTGAGTTCTCATTGTATGCTTTTATAGAGTTGGTGCATCTCTCTGGGTTAGCAGCAGATGTTTACGAAGTACTGGACTAAAATTTTACGCTTAATGCTACCATCTTGCGGATTATTTCCGTCCGAGTTGCTCTTTATTTATATCCACGTGTTTTTTCATAATTTGCTTGTCATTTTAGCTTCGCAAAGCCAAGTAAATACGACTTATGTACAGTAATAATATTACTCTAACATATAATTACGTTACGCCAAAAACCAAAAAAATAACCAACTTTATATTCATATAGGATTTTATTTTCAGGGATTTGTTACTGCCTTATACTCATTGGCTTTAAATATCTCTTATTATTTGAAGATTTAATAGTGCTTGTAATTACTAGTTGTGTAGGTGTTCACAGTCTAGACCCGACCCGTCTGTTGGCTGGTACCTTGGCGTGGTAGACGGGCTTGTGTGTTGCAGTGATCCTGAGGGCTATACCGACCGAGGTTCAACCATGTCGGGAAGGCCGAAGGTGAGCAACGAGACGAAATCCAGCTACTGTTTAGTAACTTTAAATTACAAACATCTTTGGACGATAATCTAAGTAAGTACGAGATTTCCGTTTAAAATGGATAAACTAACAAAGTAGGTGCAACTAAGCAGTCCTTACCTTCAAATCACGATGCATTCATCTCGGACTACTTGCAGTTATTCATAGTTTTCGTTTGGTATTTAAGTGTAGATGTGGTTCATCACAAGATTACTGGTTTATTACTTTATTATACTGGAAATTCAATAGCATGTCTTATCTCGGACATAAATATCCAGACTCTGAAATAAAGATCTATTTACAACACTAAGGAAACTGTTGGAACCCAAACATACTTATTTGTGTTATAAAATAAATTGGTCCGTACAGTCTGTTAAATATTAGTTAAGAATGCATGTAGTACGCGCTTGTTCTTAAAATAATTATTTAAGTGTGTTACCTGTTTACATTCAGTGACCGTTGAGCGATCAATAATGCCATTGTTTTGAGGTTGTTTATAGTTCTTATATTTATTTTAATTTCTTGATTCCTGATTAATTTGACAGAATTCTTCCAGCCTCTCCCCTCCCAGAAATGTATGCAGCGGAAGAAAACGTACTCGATCCGAAACATCTATATGTTTGAATGATAGTACTTCAGAATCACCGTCTCCAAAGTTTCCAACCTCAGCTCTATCAACCAAAGATTTGTTCTGTTTAATGAGTACATTAAATAGTTGTTTTGGCCCTGCCTATGATTTCCTTACTGCTAGAAGTGATGAATTTTGTTTGGAACCTGAACTATGGGTACGTTGTTTGTGAATTTCGTTTCAACTTTTCATGCATGACACCATACTCCCAACCGGTTTTGTAACTCTTCGTATTAGTTTTATATGATAAGGAGTGAACTGCGTTTCTCTGAATCATTTAAACACTGTTGGATGAGGTTTTCCACTAAGAAATTTCCTATTTTTTCAAGACAACTTATGAACAATGCCAGCATCTGGAAATGTAATACTTGAAACTATTCGTATTAATTCTTATGTATAAATGTTGACTGGTAAGCTATTGGGAATTCTGTCATCGCCATTCAGTTGAGAATACACTTCCATCTAAGCAAAAGTAAAAATCCTTTCTACAGACTTCATTTAATAGATGTTTGGGATTACTTGTCTTTCAGCCAGTCGGTAACTATATTTTAACACTGTACTCCAGGATTTTGTTACATGTAGCCGTAAGAATTCAGCTATATATTTTTCGTTTGAAATATGTAATAAAAAGCGTGCTATAACTTCGTGAATTTTTTTATACTCAACATTCTAATTGATAGACTTGGCAATAAGCAATAATATAGTTCCAGATAAGAATTAAAAAAGTTAGGTTGGCTATGTTTTATTATTGACCTAATCGTAGTTTTGTGCTCACATAAGCTTACAAAAAGCATCAAAACTTTGAGATTAGATTCATGAACCACTTAATTAAGACAAATATGCTTGTTGTTCACTAAACAGCAACGATTATTTTCTTAACGTCGTTCCAGATATTTTAACGATTTAATTAATACATATTTTAACACATTAGAGCGCCAAAACAACGCGCCACACAAGATGGAGTAATATTATTGTAAAGATTATACAGTCTAAATAAATTGACAATAATTGTATTGACTAAATGATATAGCTAAACTAAGAAAATGGCGATGAGAGATATCGTTCATCTAACATAGTTTGTCTTCCATAAAGAATGTATTTAGAGGCTGCAGAATGATCATCACTAGCTTCTGTTCTTTATACCAACGCCTCAAGCCACTGAGCAGCTACATGTCCTATAAGAGCCCACTTAAGGAGTTGCGATGAACTAACAAATGTCAGTCTCATGCAACTACCTTTTAGACCACAGAGTCTTGTCACAAATTAAGTAGTTCGCAGTCTGTGAGAATACTCATACACTAACCATTTTCAAATGCTTTACGTAGTCCCTTCCAGAAGTGGCGGGGCGGCAGTCGCTTCATTGCAAGGTTACAGAACTGTTTACTTCCATAATCTTCCCAATTTAATTAGTAAGATCTCTGGCCAGAAGTTTGCCTCCATCCGTGGGGGGGGGGAGCAAGTGGGATACGCCATCTGAGCATGGTGACTTGTGGTGGTTTAAAAGTTGGAGTTCCTTCAAAAACTCCCCGTCTTTAGTGTAACCGTTACTTACTGTTCAAAGATTATATTTATGTATATATTGGCTCAGCAATCTCAATTTTACTAGTTTCTTTAATATCCTCATGATTATCTTCACTTTCATTTCGTCAGCTTGTAAAACACTACATTTCTCGGTTCTGTTCCATTTATGTGGATAAATACGAAGATCTAGCACCTCATCTTTGGAAAGTCATCGGTGATGAAATTGTGCCTGCTCAATGTCGCATATATAGGTAAATGTTTCCTAAGAACTTTAATATGATGGTGGCATTTTATTTTCATGTCATGAAGTTTAGATCCTGCCGACTTTACTGAATGAATAATATCTACACTAATTTTAGTTTTATCGTTCTTCTCTTTTGGTTTAGTTATCGTCCTGATCATCTATCCGATCCATACAGCTCAGGATGTTTAGCATCTTTCAATTATTTTTTTCATAATCGATGCTTACGTCGTGTATTATTCTTTTCTCTTCGTGTATTAAAGTAAGCATATCTTTTTTTTACTGTGGTGGATAAAAATAGGAAACCAAATTATTTTCTATTATTTTTTGTTCAAATTTTCACTGTTGTCATAAGTTTGATTCGCATCAGGTATTGTATCTATATTTGTCTTAATCACTATTAACTACAGAAAATATACTATTCATTTAAAAATGATGCAATTAACTGCTGTTTTTCGGTTAACTTATCCTAGTATCGGAGACTCATTAGAAGTTTAGTGTCGTTTCGTTCTTTGTTCGATATGGATATTAGCTGTGTGTTCGAGGCAGTAGGTACACGTAAATTATGGTTGGCTATCAATAAACACAAACTGTTTACTCGACTTATTCCAAGGATTTGTTTTATTAAAAGCTGTCGACATTTCAAATAACAGAATAATAGTATGGATGTCTTAGCTTGTTACCGTCAGTATTCTAATAACACAGTTGACTGGCAATTGTTTACTTTATTTGTATAATATTGTAGTTTTATTTCTTGATTAGGATCCTCCATGATTTGCATTCAATACAAGACTAGTTTAGTATGTCTATTTTCTAAAGATATATTTTCTTAGCTCGAATTATTTTTAATGCTGTTCTATCATTAAGTCGCCAACACATCGAAACAAAGAACCCATGATTTCTTGAAATGAAAACCTACTTTATAAATTTTGGAGGTCGCATACAATGTATGGTAATGGCCGAGAAATCAGTCATTAGTATAATCTACTTTTGTGTGTTATCTGTAAATTCTTGTGTACGAAATATAGACGCATTTTTCGAATTGTACTCTGTCTATTGTATACTGCTCGATGTTCCATTTGAAGATATTGTCATACTTATCATTAATTTTCAGGATTTCGTTATCAGCGAAAATAAGAGTCCAGTTATATATATATATATATATATATATATATATATATATATATAGGGAGAGAGAGTGAAGTCATTTTTAAGCCCACTCTTTTAGTACCTGTGGACTGAATCATCAGTTTTCATGTGATGAGAGTTGTGTGAATACAATTCTGTTTCAAGTCACAAAATGAGTTTAAATGGTTCACAACATGTACACTCCTTTTTTGCAACTTAACGTCTCTGAAATACTTGGTTGATGCGTTTCGATATCTGTTTGTATACTCTGTCTATTTATTCTGTGGCTATAATTTGTGGGAATTGGGAAACTGCGACTAAAGCTATTAAGTACTTGCTTACAAGCAACCTAAAATCTGAAAGTTTCCGAAACATTAGTTATCGGAATAATCAGTCATGAAGAAATTATGGTGCAACTTCTAATATTCGATCTTATTATTGATTATCTCTCCGTAAATACCTACTAACAACTGTTTGTCTCCAATTAACGCCTATTTTTCAAATGTATCAAACGGTATTGTATGACTCGATGATCCTCAAATTTAATTTATTTTGGGACATAGATTTCGTTTATATGAACAACGAAAAAATTCTAATTAGAAACTACTCATCTTATCAACGTGTACACATCAAACTCTATTGTTTGTGTTTTTGTCAAAGTACCAATGGAAAATATAGACTACAGTAATTGTCTGTAAAGCGGATTATTTTCTTTAATTAGTATAAACCTAAACATTACTTCATTTGTCATTCATTGTTTTTTTTTTCAGTGATTCACTCGTAGATGATGATGAAGATGAACTAACTGAATCCAATTTATACTAAACAAATTGAAATGATCTTAGTTGTTTATTTGTAAACTTATTCTCTTCAAGAATGACTAAAAACTGTTTACGATGATTTGTCGATAGTTCTATTATATGACTTTCCATAATTCTATCAATCACCTATAAGCAGAGATACACGTATAGTTTATTATACGTACTCGTAAGTTATATTTTTATCATCACCATTATACATACATACCGCATTATATTGATTCATCCCATATTTCAGGGTTTTTGCATTTATAGTTTTTATATTCCTATACTAACAACCATAATACATGAAATGTTTTAGAATTCCCTTTCATTTTACCTGTATTCACACACGACCAACATGTTAATATTTATAATTGATCACTTAGTTTATCAAATAACTTTCGTGTACATATTCTTTTTGTGACAATATAAATCTCTCCTACACAAAGCTTATTATTTAAATGTATTTTTTACACAGAACTTTTCCACTATAAATCTGTAATAGTTTGTGTTCTACTGATAACCGATATAAGTAGGATGTGTCACCGATCGAAATTGGAATACCTGGCTGCAGAAGATTGAGAAGATCGAAGAGGCGAGAACGAGAACAGAGTTTTTAGTGCGGAAAGGAAGGAACAGTTAAGTCTGAGACAATCGATAGACATCTAGCAAATGAAGTATTTACTATATGGTTCTCAGATTTTCCTAACAGATTCTGTAAGTTTGTATTCAAATACATTTGTTTGTCCCCGCCTGTGTTCTCGTTCACTACGGTATATCCGGCTTTATATCACTCCCTGTCTCCCATTCTTGTCTGGTTGGTTGTATCTGGTTTGCGTGTCACACCCATATCTTTTGTCTGGCTTTTACTTCATCGATGACTTTCCTTTTATTCGGATTATGATGCCGAACTTTCAGGTTGGCTTTACTCCCAGGAAGTCTCTTGCTATTACCATTTGTCCCACTCTGAACGCTCTGGCTAATGCACTGTCTGTTGTTGAATTACCGTTCCATTCGTTTATTCTTGCAGAGGTTGGTTCTAGGTTTTAGTTTCATTTGTTTTCTAGGTATTCTAATTTTTCCTCCAAAATTGCTTCTGCCGGACATTCCTGATTATTTGTTGCTGGGTCGCGTGTTGCGCGGTAGGTTAGTAGAAATCTCCTCCCTCGGCTTTAAACAGTGCTCTTTTAAACATGTCCACGAACCTCTCGACTAAACCGTTAGACTATGGATGGTATGGAGTTGTCTTGATATGCCTAACGGCATTGCCTATTCAGAACTTCGAAAATTCGACAGGGTTAAATTGTGGTCCATTATTCAACACCAATATATCTGGACACTCAAAGTAGCCGGATGCTTGTCTCAGTTTTCCCATAGTAGCTTTTGTCGAGACAGACTTCATGTAGTGAACTTCTGGTCATTTGGAGAAGGCATCAACGATCACCAAGAACTGTTTCTTGTTTACGGGACCGGCGAAATCCACATGCACTCTCGACCACGGATTTGTTGGTGTTCCCCAACTCTGCGTTTCCGTCTTCCGAGGGGTTTTGATAGCTCTCACACATGCGGAACATCTCGCAACATATTATTCGATCTGAGTATCAATATTCGGCCAGTATACATAGCCACGTGCAAGTGCTTTCATCCGTGGTACCACTGAGTGAGCAGCATGCAGCTCTAACATCACCTTACGAAGTAAGCTTGTGGGTACAACTACTCGATCTCCAAACATCGGGCACCCGTCCACAAGTGATAGGGAATTTTTTCGGTAAGCATACTGCTCAGTGTTCTTGTTGTCTGTGTGAGCGGGCCAACCATGTTCGAGATAACTAATAATCCGCTTCAGCTCGTTGTCTTCTTAAGTATAACGTTTAATATCTTCAGCGGATAACAGTGTTGCTTTTATAACAACTTGTATTTGATGAATATCTTCTCCCAACGATATCGTTGCAATAATAGGATCTTCACTTTCCTGCTTCTGACTCGTAATTAGTCGAGATAAAGCATCAGCTGGTCCAAACGTTTTTTGATGATTTACATACAATTTCGAAATCATAAGCAAGTAATGTAATAGCCCAGCGTCGTAATCTGTTTGCTGTATATGCAGGAATACTCGACGTCGATCAAAATATAGATATGAGCGGTTTGTGATCTGTTGGAAGGGCGAATTGACGACCATAAGTCATTTTATGGAATTTATTTACTGCAAAAAATAAAGCTAGTTCTTTCTCAATCTGACTGTTTTTTTCGTTCAGCTGGATTAAGAGTTCGGGATATATGAGTAATTGGTTTTTGTTTACCACCATGTAGACGATGACTGATAACAGCTCCAATTCCATAGTTGGAAGCATCAGCGGTCATAATTATTTTAACCTTTGGATTGTAATGGGTCAGCAACAGTTTAGAAGATTAAATTCTTTTTATTTCGTCGCAAGAATCTTGATATTCCTTTGTTCAGTGTCATGTTGCATTAGCCATCAAAGGTTGGTTTAGTGGGTATCACAATCTATACATGTAGGGTATGGACACACTATAATATACAATCATCCCCATAAACGAACGAGTGGTTGTAACATCAGTCTTTCTGGGCATATTTTGATAGGATTTATATTATCTGGATCTGGTCGACGAACATCCTTATCAAACATGTATCTAAGAGACTCGAGTAGGAATTCACTTCTCTTTTTGTACCCGAAAATCCACTTGCGATATTTTAGTAAGTACAGCATCTAACCGGACCGGTAGTTCCTAAGCAGAAGAACCAACAACTATAATATCATCCAAATAATCTGCTGCACCTTTGAGGTTAGGCATCAAAGTATCCACTATCTGCTGGGAAATTGCTGGAGCTGGCTTTACACCAGACGGTAATCGCTTAAACTGATAGAGTCCACGGTGGGCATTAATGGTTCATAACTCCTTTGAATCTTTGTCAATTTCCACTTGTATGCAGACCGACTGATGTTACAACCCTTCGTTCAGACCAGTAAACTAGCTATTGATGCGTCCCAGCCCACTAACTAGAGGGAGAAGTCCAAGCTTGGAATGGGGAAGTATAATCTGCAAACAGCCATAAACGAGCGATAAGAACAAACACAATTCAAAACGTATATATACAGTACAGAACCGTCCTTGCAGAGAGTTACCAAATAGCATACTAAAAAACGCAACAGACTAATAGCATTTAAGAAACTTCCCAGTCGGAAATATGACATGAAGGTGCCAAGAGCGCCTTTGGCGCGAAAACAAAGAAATTCGAATTTTCTAAATAAAATTAGGTCCTTTCCCAAGTGAGTTCTAGGGATCTAATGTCCCCAACACTCCCACGATACTTACTATACCGAATTATTCATTGTCCACTATCCACCTTTCATAGAATCAATCAATCAAGGTGCGTCAGTGAAGACTTCTTCGGTCTATGTCTATTGGTATTAACGCGAATGATGAATCGAGCACATAATGCATTCGTGTCTCTCCATACCTGCACTCACAAAGTCAATCAACTGAACACTGTGTTGTAACTGTTTTCCAAGTGCTTCCATGTCAACTGTAACATTCTGTCAGTTGTCGGTCGGTTGAACAGATTGTTCCAGATTTCATATGCAACCAGTAATATGATTTGTTGTTTGGATTGTGTGTTGAGAACACCACAACGAATTCATACTGGACAGCATTCACTGGGATAAATTAACCATCAATTAGCCAGTCAGCCAACCAACCGAACGACCGACCGACCAAACAACAACACCAAACCATACAACAAACGAATCAGCAGAACAAGCAAACAAACAACTAGCTTGCTATGCAGAGATTGAAAGAAGTAAACAGTCGTCACTCGACATTGACGACACTGACCAGTGTACACACAATGCACAGAACGAAAGAAGTGGCAGTGCTTAACCATCTTGTCATCATTATCGACTCAATTGGTCAACTGACAACACAGATACCGGGATGTGTGTGCACTTGTGCAACTGCCTCACGCACACACAGGAATGTTGGAACAAGGTTCGAGAAGTTGTAAATCATATTGTTATGTCCTAGTGTTGATTAAATTACGGGTAACTCCTGAGAACGAATAATGGACTAATATTATACGTATATTCTTATCGTATAACCATTCTGTAACTTGATTATGCATTTCTATTTTCCTCTGATCATTAGGTTCTTTTTGACCTATAAATTATTATGATATTATCTAATAGTCTTAAATTATACTCAGTTTATTTAGTCTCTCACGGTTACAGCCACTTTTGGGCTTGAAATTGTATAAATGTTATTTCCTATTTTATGGTGTGATATGTTTCGTTTGTCTTATATATAATCCAGGTATGTTTGAAATAAAGGATTCGTATAGGGTAAGCTGGTATTGGTGTTCTGGACCCAACTGGCAAGGCTAAGAGGAATAGGATCAATAAATACTTTAGGCTGCTCATACCGGTCGATACGTCATTGGTTTCGGACAATGATAAAATTGTCTAAGTCGTATTCCGATTGGCGGATAAGTCACGTGATAATTAGCCGGGCTTAAAAGTCACAAAAATTGGCGATGGAGGTTCGCGAAGAAAGAAACTCTTCGGTGACGTGAATTTCGGGAAGAAATAAGCTATAATAATTGCCGGTGATTTTTTGAGTTTGTATTAACATTAGCTGTCATTATTACAGCAGCAGCAAAATGTATTAGTTTCCCAACAGCTACTCTTGAAAGCACTTTTGGCAAAAACTTCTATTTAACAAGATATTCCAGAACATAAGGATATAGTCATATCTCCATCGAATTCCAGGATATTTGATTCAGAAAGTGGTCACACTTACGAAGCGTGGTTCGGCAGAATAGAAGATATTTTCCGAGTGGAATTCGCTGCTATGGATGTCGCAAAGAAATTCCCGCTGCTTTTACAGAAGCTCGGTTTTAACGAGCATCATAAGTACAAAAATCATATTCTGCCTAAACATCCACGAGAGGTTAACTTCGATGAAACTGTTAGTATTTTAAATGTTCTGTGAATAGATATCATTAATTCG